TTAGAGGGTCAACGAGCGATGGAAGATCGAAAGTTTAGTGGGAGTTTCGTACCAGGAATCCAAATAACTGATAGGTTGATCCTTGAAAGAACCAATTCATCGTCCGCGTTGATATCGAGCGGAGGTACATAGGTACGTTATGCCTTCCTCATAGACACAATAACATTGCAGGGCTCTGCCCAACCGCTCAGCGAGCGCTGTACCTTTTGAAACAGAATTGTCCTGTTGTTGGACAGAGGGCTTGAGTAGACCCCTGGCGGATTTGAGGTCCTCTCTCAAGTGCCTTGTGTGCATCCCAATGCAATATCCACTTCCATCTCTATAAAAATCAATTACAGGATGGGATAAATGGGACTCTTGTAAAGTTCGCTAACCACTCCTGTTGTGTTTATGACGATCCTAGACGGTGAGTTTGTCTTGTTGATGACATATCCCCCGCTAGTAGGTGGGAGACTCACAACCATAGTGCCTCCCCTTCTTTATGGAGCCCTGAGGTAGGCACACGGTTCTGTGTTTCCGCCCACTTCCGGTTATCGCGGAGTATGCAAGTGCAGCCACCATTTATTGTCACCATCGCCAAAATAAGAAATTCAATGACAACAGTTCAGGCTCCTGAAATATACTGATAAATATATACTTCTGGACTTCTCCTTCGCACAAAACCCACGCTACTTCGAGGACATTATAGAGGAAGTTCGTGAGATTCTCGAATTTTCACCGGAAATTGTCAGCGAAGGGAACTACTTGTTGGACAGTCTAAAAGTGTTAGTTTCCTGCGAACCCATTACGGCTGGAAATACGAGTAATTCGTGAGGGAAGTGGGAATTTCAGAAATGGTTCCCGGTCTCCGCGCAAGTTCTCGTTTTGGGCTCGTCCCCATCAAAGTGCTCTGTGCATTCATATTCGGCGAACCGATTTCTTAGAAAGGAATATTTCTACCGACATGATGGCTACGGTTAAGGCAGCGAATGATATCGCCAGAGGGAAGGTAGGTCACCGTTATAAAATTTCAGATATTCTGCCAAACCTTAAATGTTCAGACGTGCTCATTAGACATCCTTGCAGGGTATTGATCGATTTCTGGTATTCGGTGACGATGCGAAGTTTATGTATAATCTGACCCGGACCATCATCAAGGAGGGGAATTGGAACCCAAACGTGGGCATTTTTTAGTGAACAGTCAACTTCTATTTTTGGCATTTTTAGCGTAGTGTCAGACACCTGTGATTAAAACAGACCTAGAGAAGTCAGTGTAAGCTAAAGCACAAGCTTTTTTGCAGAAGGAGCAAAAAACCGGCGAGCTGGACGCCCTTTGGCTTGAGATAATAGATAATTTTATTATAAATTATCATGGGACATTGCTTTGTTGTTTATTACTATTATG